CCCCCTTGTTTTATTTACATGACAGCCAGCAGGCAGGGTATGGGGAGAACGGGAAAACAATTCAAACCGGAATTCTCTTGGGCTCTGTTTCTGAATATTGTCTTTTAAATGTGGCCTGCAATTTTATTAAATCCTTTCTTGCATAGGAATAAAAATGGAGTTGAATTAGACTCTGTGGGCACTTTGGTGCCTGGTTTCATTTTAGGAAGGGCCAAGTGTGGGAAACCCCGAAGTTAGTCCAATCTGTATTTCAGTTTCCTTAAGAAGACCTGGGCTCCTTTCTCTCTCCTCCGTATGTGCTTAGCGCTTCTCCTGTGGCCGGCCCGTGGTGCCCACCTTCTCAGTCACTGTCCTGTGCTCATTCTGTCTGTGTAGCCTTCAACAGTGTGCTCATCTTTGTGGAGAGTGGTTGGAATCCACCACGCAGTGTGGCTGCTTTTGTTCCATTCATCCTTTGCTGAAGTCTCAGTTTTATCCTATGAGGCCAACCTAGTGCACAGCATGAATGGCTTTGTATATTATATAGGGAGTGGCTGTTGTTTTTTTCTCTCTAAATGATGTATTGAAACCAATAAGGTACAGATAGAGTTTGTGTGAAATTAGAGGCAGAGAAGGTGTGGGGAAGAGGAGCTTGATTTAAAGTAGTTTCTCCCTCATGATCAACAACCAAGCACTAATTCTCGTTATCAGCACAGACGCATCTGTTCCTCCTGGGAAAATAATTAATATGAAATGAACTGTTTTTCTATTCCATTTTTACTGTCATTACTGTTACTGTTGCTTTTGTTTAACTCCTTACCATACAAAAGGTTTCCTCTGAGGGAGGAAGCAGTGAGTATTCCTGCCATCTTTTTGCAGCTTCAGATGGTTTCTCTGTTATATGATATGAATGTTGTTATAGTTTTAAATGAGATGCTAGAGTTTTTAAAACATATACCTGCATTCTTTTTACGCTGAGTTTATTCCCATGCCATAAATTTTTGTTTCTTCAGGGATGGCTTTTTCTTCTGTGCACTATCTTCCTCTTCTAGCTTGGAACAATCTGTTCCTTTTCAGTGGGGATCATCTCAATGTGGCAGGGGGAGCTCACGTGTGGGCTGTGAGCTCTGTAAGTTCGCTGGCCATCTTAGGTGCTGTGTTCACCCGAATGTGCTCAGTGCCTAGAGGACCTGTGTCTGAGCCCTTCAGTTAGCATTACTCTGCATTTTTAGTCATGTGCAGCAAAAACAGTTCTTGGGTCCCCAGCCCCGTGTCCAGCCCCACTGCTTAGCCTGGGTGCACTGACCATCTCCACTCTGCCACCACAGCGGGCACACATGGCTTCTTTAAAGCGACATGCTTAAGGTAACTTGTAGCGTCTCAGGTATGCATGCCCCTGATGGCCTGGGCAGTGTCACAGGTGTCTTTAAAGTACACAGAAAGATTTGAACCTCTTGATCAGCATGACTTGTAGGGTTTGGGGTCAAGAGAGTAGGGAACCGTGTTCACAGGTCACCCCAGGATTACAGGGAGAGGAGGCCAAGACACTGAAAAGAATAATTTAATATTTATATGTTAATAGTTGGTAGACAAACCAGTAAGTGCAAAATGAAAGTGACATTTTCTATTCTAAAGGTTATTTCAGAAATGCCCTCCTAAATCCTTGTGAATAAAATTACAGTTGCAGTGTGTTTATAATCCCTTAAAATCCCTAAATCCTTACAAAGCTGACTTGTGTGCTTGAAGAAGGACTTGACTTACAGAAATATCTCTGATTCTTAGAATTCTATACACCTGAACAAGCCTACTTCATTAATTTTGGGTAATTGATCTTAATTATCTAACATATTTTTTGTTATGGTTTCCATAGTATCAGATGCTCTAACCAAACCCAAGCCCTTGTTAAATTTATTCCAGGAAAACCTTTTTCAGGCTCTCTGCTCTGCTCTGGTGAGTTTGGATTTGCTTTATCGGCTTATCTGCGAACAGGGATGACGTAGTTCTCAGTGCTCTGACTGAAGCAGGCAAGATTCTCAGTAGAAGGCCCAGATCTTATCAGAGGGAGTAAGTTTCTAGTGACCCCAGTGCGTTTGTCCCAAGAAAGTCTTGAGTTCTTTGTTTTGTTTTGTTTGGGGGTAGCAATCACAGCAACCTGACGTGTATATTCCTATAGACCATGCAGGCTGGTTTTCAGTTGTGTTTATTTTGGGGGTTAATGCTGACATCTTTTTGTGTATCCGTGAGCTTCAAGCTCCTGCCTACCTACTTTCACGTGACATCTTTGTGTCACCCTTGCTTGGCCTCTGATCTGCCTCACCGTGGTCTGCCCTTCTCTAGTCTCTTCAGTCCTGAATTAATGCCAGGTCTTCCAGGGCCCCTTTGTTCGCTCCTGCTCCTCCCCACCCCAGCTCCCACTACCCCCAGCTGCCCAGAGCTTCACCTCACCCCTTGTCCTGCATGAGCTGGTGTCCATCTCCCGCCATCTACTGTACATCGCTTTGCATGAACCTTCTTGGTGCTGGATGGCAGGAGGCTTGAGTAAAATTTATGCCTAAATTATGAGGCCCACCAGCAAGGAGCGATAGGCCTTGGTCTTTGAATGAAGTGTGTTCATTTTAGATTCTAATCAAAGAACTGAAGAAATTCATAGTTAGAAAACCCATGCAGCCTGAACTCTGACCTGGGCGTGATGTGCTCCTCAGCTCCTCCGCCTGGCGGAGTCAAGGGGACCTTGAGCCCTCGGTTCTGTAGCCCTTCCTCCGTTACTGTTGAAGTGCTGTGAGTTCCTATGGCTCCTACATTATTTCCCTCTTTGAAACATGATGGAGGACATCATTGCTCACTTGAGTCATTGCGGGTGCAGTGTATAGAGGCGTTGGCTAGCTTCGCAGTCCTCAAAGGACTGAATAGATGGTGTGTTCTGTGCGGAAGTACAGTTAGTAATTGGGGAGCTAGCTCCACGTGACTCCTGTTAAAACAGTCTCACACCCTGCTGAGAAAGGTGGCGCTGCGTACATTGGCGATGCTGGTTCGAAAGAATGCTGTTTTTACCACACAGAACTAGCTTTTCACTAGACAGTCTTTAGTGCTTCTGATCTTGAAGTCCCTCTCCCACAGAGAGAAACCATGGCCCTTTGTTTTTTGCCATGGTCCTGTGAATCATTAACAACGTTCTGACTGCAGCTTAGACGTCCTGCTGTTTCTGTACTGTACTTTTCCCCCAGCAGCAGTGTCTAGGCTGCCACAGGATACCCACGCTTATGTGGCCTATGTGAGTGGGCTATAGCACAAGCATATAAAGGACCGGTGCAGACATGGTTGCCATCTGAAACTCAGCCTCGGGCTGGCAAGATGACTCTGCAGGTATCTGTGCCTGCTGACAGAGCTAATGGCTTGAGTTCTGTCTCAGGGCCACGTGGAGAGAAAGAACCGAGTCAACAGGTTGTCTTCTGACCTCAACACACACACTAAACTCTGTGCATAGCCCCTCTCCCCCTGCACATTAAAAAAAACCCAACTTTTTATTTGTTTTTGGGTCTTTCTGTGTAGCCCTAGCTGTTATGGGACTCCCTATGTAGACAAAGCTGGGCTAAAACTCACAGAAATCCACCTGCCTCGACTTCCCCCATGCTGGGATTAAAAGCCTGGGCCACCACTGACCAGCATACAGTTCATCTTTTAAATATTATTTATATCTTGTGCTTTACAAATAATTTTTAAAAAGATTTGTGTGTGTGTTGCTTACCTGTTTGTATGCCATGTTCATGTAGTACCCTATGAGGCCAGAAGAGGGCATTGGATCCACTGGGCCTGGAGTTAGAGATGCCACCATGTGGGTGCTGGGAACTGAACCCCAGTTTTCTGAAAGAGCAGTAAGTGCTCTGACTGCTGACACAACCCTCCAGCCTAGGAGTCCTCTATTAAAAATACATCTATCTTTAAAGACATCCTTGACTCTTATGCTAAAACAGCTTGACAGGAGATGCCCTAATCTTTCTGGCAGGCTATGTTTAGTGTGCTCAGTATTTAGTGACAGAGAGTCAGTGGGTCTTTGAAAATTATGTCACGGACATAGAATAAAAGCTTTCTTTAAAGACGAACTGAAACCATCTCCCTTTTTGTACACACTGGTTAATCTTTTTAATCTGAATTGGAAAGGGGATTGGATTTTTCTGGTTATGATATTAAATAAACAGGGCCCTGTAGGTGTTTGGCCTTCAACCCAAAGTTTTGTACACAGAAATATGTGCCCTGTCAAAGCAAAAACTGGCCCTTTCAGCTGGAGGATTAGGTCCTTGCTTGCCATGTTTTCACAGACCATGAATGTCAGAGTGAGTGTTGTGGCCGCTGGTCACCTAAGCAGTGCTCAGGTGTTCATTGACAATGGTATGGATTCCATCTTATTTCTGAAACTGCTGTGGAGAGCCTACTCATAAGCAGACAGGATGGAGAGGGAGGGATGCCATAGCACCGGAGACCATTAGCTTCAAGACTTTATATTGGGAAAAAAAAGAAAAAAACTCTTTGTGAGAAGCCCCACTGTGTCCTGTGACAGTCGGCATGGGTTCTTTGCCCTCCTTGGTTCAAACTGTCTAGCTCTGTTGTTTTATAATCAACGTTAGGAGATACAGCATCGAGTCATAACTTGTTGCTGTTGAAGAAAACAATGGTGCTATAGTTTCAATAAATGCAAGATGATTTTAGAACTCTCTGTCCCACCATGTACTGAGGAAGGCTTTTCAGAGGACACTGACTGGAACTCTTCTGAATGAGTTGGTGCGTTTAGGTGAATCACATTTTAGACAAAACTCAGTGGAGATGACCTGAGGACCTTAGGGATTAGAGCACATAACCTGCCTGGGACTGGCTGGAGGGCGCTGTGGTCTGTGAGCCACATACAGCAGGCGTACTCTGGGAGCTGCGATTTGGTTTGCATAGTTGTGACCTTTATATTGGTCCAGTGGGCTCTCTACCACAACCCAGTGCCCCAGATGTCACTAACCCTTCTCCCATTCTCACAGGTGCCTGAGATCATCAGTTCCATCCGGCAGGCAGGAAAGATTGCCCGCCAGGAGGAGCTACGCTGCCCCTCGGAATTCGATGACACCTTCGCCAAAAAGTTCGAGGTGCTCTTCTGCGGCCGGGTCACTGTGGCCCACAAGAAGGCGCCGCCTGCGCTGATCGACGAGTGCATCGAGAAGTTCAACCATGTGAGCTGCGGCCGCAGAGCTGACTGGGACGCTCCCACAGGGCAGCCATCAGCGCCGGGACCCCGGCCAATGCGCAAGTCCTTCTCGCAGCCCGGACTGCGCTCATTGGCCTTCAGGAAGGAGTTCCAGGACGCCAGCCTCCGCAGCAGCACCTTTAGCTCCTTTGACGACGGTATCGAAAACCACCTCATCGGAGGACACAATGTGGTTCAGCCCACAGACATGGAGGAGAACCGAACTATGCTATTCACGGTAAAGTCTTGGGCAGTTTTCTGCATCCTGGAGGTCTGAAAAAAATCAGCTAATGCATCAGTGGTTGTACACACCCTTTCACTGAAGAAAGAATAGTTATGTAAACGAGGTTCAAAACTATGTAAGTTTCACCACAGTTTTAAGCAGAAAGTACTCTGATTAATGTGTAAACACCCATTGTTTATCCGGGTAATATGATTTTTAAATAACCCCAACTAAAATACTAGTTTAGTTGCTTGTTTTTATTTTTGTTTTTTAAACAGAAAATTGTTAAGCTGTTAGCCATATGGAAGAAAAGGAATAGATAAGGGAGCCAGCTATTGGACTTTCATGGAGACTTGGATTTTTCTGGATTTCCCTGGGTATGAATGGACAGAACTCTGCCCTCTTCATGAAGTGAGCTGCTCTGTGGCTTTTTCCTTGGCGAACTTCTGCCTCTGCATCTTTGCTTTAATCATGGTAATGAGCAAAACTGGCTTAGATACAGTGTAGCCTCTCTGTGCTTCCCCCAAGGCACTGAGAAGGCCAAGCAGTAAGGGAACTGACCACATAGGTTAGTGTAGTGAGGCTATAGCTGGCATTAAAGATCCAGAAATGGATCTGGAGAGCTGGCTCGGCCTCTGAGCATTTACCGCTCTTGCAGAGGAACTGAATTAGGTTTCTAGCACCCACATCAAGTGACTTGCATCCTTATAACTCTGGTTTCAGAGATCCTCTCCTGGACTCTGTGAACACCTTCACACACATACACACAATTAAAGCATAATGCATCCTTAAACTATCCAGATGGTGTGTCAGGGTGTCAGGGTAATAGGACTGACCTCTCTCTTCGTAATTGACATAGTACACAGACAAGTGCTGGGCTGGCACTAAGACTTGTATTTTAATCTGTGGTCTTTATGCTTCTTTCCAAACACTGCAGTGTCATTGAGAAAGGCTGCTCGGTGCATTTGTTTGTAAATGGTTACAATATCCTAGAAATAGAGCAGTGAGCAGTCTCTGCCCACGCGGAATTCAGATTCCAGCAATGCGGACAGGCAACGGACACACTAGTAATTATGCAATTACGACTGCAGCGCACACTGTGGAGGAGTAGCGGGTGCTGTGGGAACGCTCGGAATCAGGAGAGGCATCTTTGATGTGCTTCTCACTCAGTAGAGGTTTCCACACGGCCAACAGGCAGGGTTTCCTCCTGGGTTCAGAGAGCAGCAAGTGGGGTGTGAGAGGTGGGAAGGAGCTCTACCTCAGAGACCTGAAGACATCGCTCCACTGCTTTGCCTGGCAGGCCCCTTAGTTGTCCTGGCTTTACTTCCTCACGTCAGGTCTCTACTGATGTAATGTGATGGGAAGCAGTCATGTCAACGAGACCAGGAGCAACCTCACATTCCTGGATCTCACGTAATTACAAGTAAACAAGTAAACAAGTAAACAAATTACAAGTAAACAAGACCTTTGTACCCCTCATGATCCGGCATTTCAGCCTCCATCTTGTTCTCCAAAGGGTAAAGGGCTTGGAAGTGCAGCTGGGCAGATAGAGTGCTCTGACACTGTGGCCACCAACTTGTTGATTCTGAGGAGGGATTAAATCTGTAGAAACCAATACATACAGGAACCGAGAAACTTGAGCATATGGAGGGGACGGTCAGGGAGGCAGACTTCTGTAGTGATATTTTGTTTGTAATCTGACAGACAGAGCTTGCCTGAAGATCAGCATCCAGATCTAAACCCCTGGAGGCCAGCCAGTGGTGGCCTACACCTTTAATGGCAGGACTCAGGAGACAGGCAGAGGGATCTCTGTGAGTTCAAGGTCACCCTGGCCTACCTGAGATTGAGTCTAAAAAAGAAACGGGGCTCACACAAAGGTGATCCCAGCACCTGGGATCTCATTCCTTTAATCCCAGCCTAGGTGGAGGCAGGAGGGATATGACTGGGCGGAGAGAGGAATGGAAGGCGGGAGGGGACGAGAGCTTGATGCAGTCTGAGGTTTGGTGGAGACAGTTGCAGTCTGAGGATTGCCCATTCAGTCTGAGGATGTAGTCAGGATGAAGTCTAAGGGCAGGATCGCCCCTTTGATCTGAGAGGTAAAGAACTTTCTAATGGATGACTGTACTGCTTCTCTGATCTGCAGGCAAGCTTTACTTGTTAAAACACAAACAAATACCGCTACAGACTCCATAGCCAGCCTGGCATTATGACACTCTGCTCCGTAAGGTGTTTTGGAAATTTTAGATAGAAACTGTAGTTTTCTGGAATACTCACTTGTATAGAAAACTAATTTCCCTTTGGAGGATCATTATTATTGTTGCCATTATCATCACTGTCATCAGATTGCTGCTGTGTCACATAGGTGTTTGTCTCCTGTCACCTGACATCCGTGGCATAAGCTGTAACCTTTGGAACGCTTTACAGTGATACAGAGTTTTGTGAGCGCTTGCCTTTATCCTCATCCTCATAGGCCATGATGTGTATAATGAATCAGGTTTCAGGAGAAACACATTTCTTTCTTTTCATTTGTTTGTTTTTTAAGATTGGCCAATCTGAAGTTTACCTCATCAGCCCTGACACCAAAAAGATTGCACTGGAGAAAAATTTTAAGGAGATATCCTTTTGCTCTCAGGTAAATGCAGACAAATTATTGATTAAATTTTAGTTCTTCTAATGCACACAGTAGAGGCACTGTTGTATAAGACAACAGGTTTTAAATCTTGATTCAGTGTCTCTTTATCTCATTGCTTACTGAGGCAAATTATAATCCTAAAATTAACAATTTTGCTTTTTATAACAGTGTGCTAGAGAAAATTATTTACCTTCCTTTCTTCCCTGTTATAGTGGTATTGATATCTTCTTGCTTTTTCCAAGGGCTTTTATGTATGTGCATGTTTTATATATAATTGGTATGTATATATGTGTGCACATGTCTTATGTATAATTGATATATGTCCATGCTTGATATATATATGCACATGGTATATATAATTAATATTTGCATTTTATATATAATTCATATATGTTATATAGAATTATATATGTTTTATATATAATTAATATTTCTGAAATTCTTAATCTTTTGTGTTCTCATCATTACTTCTCCTGTAACTATGATGGATTGTATTTATCTTTGAGGGAGTTTTACCCAGAATGCAGTGTCTATGGGAAACTTTATGTGTTTGTTAGTCTTCCAGCTGTGTTTCATAGAGAGATTTGGGAGGAATCTGTCAACTGTGATGAACCAGTTTTCTCTGGATTGTCCTGGCAAATAAGAGATCGTTTATGTTACTGTTTGGTGACTTTTTTTCTTATATTCTAACTTTTTATTTCTGTAATAAGATGTAAAAATCATAGTTGTTTGTTAATCTAAAATGTAAGCTAATTAAGTGGTCATAAAGATACTGTTTTTGATTTTGATAATAAATAATGTTTTTAACAAGCTGAATAGGGAAGCCTTTTCCAAGAAACGTTGATAAATGGCATCCCCTACATAGCAGCCTCTGTTAGATTCTTAGCTTGCTGATGGAGGACATTGATTGAGATCAGGATATGTCAGCACTTAAGGACTAGAAAATACTTGCCTGAAAGTGACATTAGTGTCAGAATCTTGACTGATCCTAATTATGTTGGTATGTTAAAATGTTAGTGTTAGATATTTAAGGTCTCTCTGTACAGCCCATGCCATCCTGGAACTTTGTAGACTGTGCTGGTCTTTGAGCTCACAGAGATCCGTAGATCCACCCCGGCCTCTGCCTCCCGAGTGCTGGAATCAGAGACAGGCACCATGCTAGGAGACCTTTGCTGCTTTAGATTAGTGTGGTAGTTTATTCTTTCCTAAAGAGAACACGCGTGCCTGTATTACCTTATGGCGATGCTTTCAGAGGCCTTGAGAATTAATAGTCACAGAAGATATTTCATTTGGACTTAGCTTGCTGTTTTAGTTTCCTGTCCTGTTGCTATGGTAAAATACCCCGATAAAAGCAGCTCAGGGAGAAAGGTTTTATTCCGGTCCCAGTTCTGAGGTCTAGTTGGTTACGGTACTCAGCTTGCGTTCTCCTTCTCGTTCAGTCCAGGGTGTGGCCCGTGTGCCATCCGTATCCAGTGTGGATCTACTTAGCTAATTAGTGTCGTCAAAACAATCCCCACTGACATTCCCAGAGGTCCTTCTCCCAGGGGATTCTAGATTGTGTCAGGGTGACAGTGGTAACTACCCGTTGGTGCTGGAGCCATGGCTCGCTGTTTAAGAGCACTTGTTCTTGCTGAGAGCCCATAACCATTCCTAACCCCAGTTCCGGGGAATTGGACATCCATTTCTGACCTCCACTGACACGAGGCATGTACACAGTACACATACATACGTTAAGGTAAAACACTCATGCACATTAAATAAGTCTGAAAATTAGAACTGCCATAGTTGCTTCTGGTGGACTTGGGAGACAGCGACAAGGCCCTCTGTCAGCTTCTGTCCCCGTGGCTTTCTGATCAAGCTTATGCATTAAAGCCTGTTTATGAGAAAGAGCTTGTGGGGTACCTGCAGAGCCCTGGCCTTAGTCTCAGAGACTTCACAGCTGCTTGTCTTGGCGTATAAGTAGTGTTTTGCTCATTCTTCATCCTGCTCAGTGATTTGCTTGTGATTTTTAGTACAAACACATTTGGAATCTCTTTTTAACCTTTATATATGTGAGTTGTGTGTACATACTTGTTCGTGTGTGTTGGTGTGTGAGGTGTTTCTTAATGTGGTGTGCTGTTGATTTTTAAAGTACCTTTTATTCCTTACTGTTCTCCCCACACACCCCAAAGTTCTAGTTTTCTGTCAGCTGTTCTCCGTAGCTGGAAGTCTGTTCTGTGTCCTGTCTGGTCCCGCTGGACCCAGTTATCTCCCCTCTGCAGGTCCCCACAGCCGCTTATGAAGGAATCATTTGGAGGCTTAATATTAATTATAATCGTTTAGTGACTCAAGCTTCTTACTGGCTAGCTCTACATACAAATTAACCCATTCCTAATAATCCTTGTATGACCACGTGCCAATGGCTTACTGGTAATGCTCTGGCATCTTACAACTCTGGTGACTGCTGGCCTCTCCTCAGCTCTGCCTCCTTTCTCCCTGTATCTCTGTCTGCAAACCTTGACTCTCATTGTGCGATAATACAAGTAACATTTTAGTAGGATGCCAATCTTTATGTAAAAATATGTGAGCAGTTATCTCATAGTGCTCTTTAAAGGGGACCGTGTCCCCATGAAGCTGTATTCCCGCCAGCAGTACTTTTGCTCTGTACCACTTACACGCCCCCCTCTTCCTCCTTCTTGTACAGGGCATTAGGCACGTGGACCACTTTGGGTTTATCTGCCGGGAGTGCTCAGGTGGCGGCGGCTTTCACTTTGTCTGTTACGTGTTCCAGTGCACCAATGAAGCCCTGGTAAGAGGATGGCACTGCCCACTGCAAACCTCGTGAGCAATGTCAGCCGTGTACAGAGCCTCCTGACATGGCAATGTTTGGTTTCATTATACACCCATGACCAATACGGCTCTGCTATGCATCTAAAATTCATTTGAATTTTCAGTGTAGAGTTAAATATTTTTGTGAAAGACATGCTTGCTTTTCTTCTCTACTCTAATGCAGCATTTAGAAACTTCATTTCCCACAGTGGGTGGCCCTGTTTTGTAAATCCCTGCACTTAGGCCTGAGCTGTAGGGCAGACAAGTTCGTAACCCACTTGAGCCATGTTGTGGGAGCCAGTACTGAAAAGAAACGGGGAAGAAAAAAGTTAGAAGGAAGGAAGGAAGGAAGGAAGGGAGGAAGGAAGGAAGGAAGGAAGGAAGGAAGGAAGGAAAGAAGGAAGGGAGGGAGGGAAAGGAGAAAGAAAAGAAGAGAGAGAGAGAAAGAATGAATGAATGAATGAATGAATGAATCCTGGTGAACTTTGAGCCAGAGGCACTCGCTTTGTACCTAGTAATAAGATTTACCTTGTACTTCATCCTCAGACTACAGACCGCAGCCCTAGCAGTCTTTCCCACTATGTTCTGGTAGTCTGTGAAAACCTGCCCAGAAAGAAACTTCCAGTACACTTCTGCCGACACTCTGTTCTTGTGCTCAGGTCGATGAGATCATGATGACTCTGAAGCAGGCCTTCACCGTGGCTGCTGTGCAGCAGACTGCCAAGGCGCCAGCCCAGCTGTGCGAGAGCTGTCCCTTGCAGGGCCTGCACAAGCTCTGTGAGAGGATCGAGGGTGAGTCGGAGGCACAAGCGCCTTGGGTGGGAGCATCCGTGCCAGAGGGCTGTGTCATAGGTGAACTCGCCTTGGGCAGTGGGTGTCTTCTGTGTGACAGGAGGTTTTCCTGGGTGTGATGGATACGCAGCTAAGAACTTTCTTACCTTCTCTCTTCGAAGGCACTCATTACTCTTGGAGTAGTAAAGAAGTTAGGGAGTTAATGTCATCAAACATTTATTGAGCTGAGTGAGACTGGTAGGTCATGTGGATTGGCCATCACAGAGATCGCAAGTGAGGCCTAACGAATGTCTCTGTGCTTTCCTGGTAGAGGCCCTGTGATCTCTGCAGGGCAGTTAATGGAGGGGAGCAGAAAACAGGCCACAGCCGAGGAGTCAGCGGGAGGAAATAAAACACAAGGTGACCATATTAGCTAGAACTTCTAGAAGTTTACGTGGAACCTTAGCATTTGCAGGCTTTTATTTGATATTAAGAGGAGCCAGTTACTGTGCTAAGTTGTTTTTAAAAGCTTTTATCTTCATTATGTTTGTGAGAAAACAAGTGAATTACTGTGTAATTTTCTAAATACATTGTTGGAGGTTTAGAGCCATCTAGGGATAAACTCGCATATAGAAAGCCCAGGATCCACCACCCTGGTTGTTAGCGCAGTCAGCCACTCTCGAGAGTGGAAGGATCCTTCTTGAGTGAGAAATGCTCTGCTGGCAGCAATAGAATCTGGTGTGGATCAGCAGGGAGGGGTGGAAGATAGGGTGCTGGTGGTGGTGGGGGCTCAGGGTTTTGCTTTCAGTTCTTTTGACTTAAGTGAAATTGCTGTTTTATATGGTGAGTGTCCTACTTAGGGTTTCTGTCGCGGAGATGAAACACCATGACCAAAGCAACTTGGGGAGCAAAGGATTTATTTGGCTTACATTTCTACATCATAATCTATCGCTGAAGGAAGTCAGGACAGGAACTCAAGCAGGGCAAGGACCTGGAGGCAGGAGTTGATCCAGAGTCCATGGAGGGGTGCTGCTTACTGACTTGCTCCCCATGCCTTGTTCAGCTTCCTTTCTTTTCTTTTCTTTTTTCTGGTGTTTCAAGACAGAGTTTCTTTGTAGCTTTGGAGCCTGTCCTGGAACTAGCTCTTTTAGACTAGGCTGGCCTTGAACTCACAGAGATCTGCCTGCCTCTGAAGTGCTGGGATTAAAATCTGTGAGCCATCACTGCCCTGCCAGCTTCCATTCTTATAGAACCCAGGACCACCAGCCCAGGGATGGCACCACCCACATCAATCACTATTAAGAAAATGTCCTATAGGCTGAATATCACTTGATTTTATGTAGGTATTTTCTCAGTTAGGTTTCAGGTAACTCTAGCTGTGTTGAGTTGACATAAAGCTAGCCAGCACAGTGGGTCCCTTTAACTTTCAAGCCCTCCTATACTGTACTATGATGATTGTATTTGCACCATACCCAAATACTAACTTCTCTGCATCCTTGTAGAAACAAATTTTATGATGGTAGCTGTCCTAATAGGAATGAAATGTTTATCTGATTTATTTTTTTAATAAAATAAATTAGTAGTTGACATCATAAAATCTGAAAGGGTTCACTTTGAGCATTACAGAAGCTCTTGAAATGATCATGATTGGTGTATTTTTAAAACTAGTTTCCAAGTTTTCATGCCGTTACTGTTTGCTGATAGCATATGAACTGTATCTGGGAACGAAAGTGTTGCTTTAACAAAAGAGCCCAACTGAGAGACTCACCGGCTCTTTCCCTGGGCTGTCAGGGTGAGGCAAATGATGATGGAGATGCCCCAGGGCCTGTTAAAGAAGCCAGTGGTGACTTTGGCCTTACAGACAGAGGAGATCGTGATCTGCAGAGCTTGCTGCTGCTGAGTTCCATTTGTGAAATCTGCACTGGGCCTGAGTGTTCAAAAGTTACAGCTGCAACTTTTAATCATGATCAAGATTTCGCTGTTATAGTTTGAAGAATAATCATTCAATTCTCTTTTGTACAATAAAACCCAACCAAGGCAGGAAACTGTAGCGAGCATCCGTTATACATTAAACAGTACCATGAGGAGTCTGGGGAATGTGTGTTTTACTCATTGTGTGGGAAGCATTTTTAAAGGACTAGATGGTGAATTAGAAGAGGCCACCTTGGTAGAAGTACTGATGACTTAATGGATGGATTAGGGGTCCAATGATTTTTATGGTTGAGTCCCAGGAAGTGGAATGGATGATTTATTAAAATCCATTGTATGTTACTGTAAAGGTAGTCTTGGGTGGGGCATAGCTCAATGGTAGAGCTCTGACCAAGCAAGTATGAGGTTCCAGGTTCCATCGCCAAGAACACCCACCAAGCATCTTGTCATTCCCAATTGAGTGTCCCTAATTCTAAAATCTAAAAGACTCCAAAATCCAAGGCTGTGGCTCAGTGGTAAGAGTGCTTGCCTTGCTTGCAGAACACCCTGGCTTCAATCCCTAGAACTGCCAAAAAGAAAAAATAAAAGAAGTGTTCTATTAGGAAGTTATGATTTGACCAAGCACTCCACAAACTATAGAAAGAACTGGTAGCATGACCACAAGCTAAAAGAGTTATAAAATGTTTCCTTAAGCAGTTATGTAGACAAGTTATGCTCCAGAATGTGTAGAATAGAATGAATACATTGTATGTGCGATTTCACTAGATACCCAATGCTAATATGCCTGCACAGCCTCCAAGATGCAAAGCTATTCTGGATTACTTACTTGAATTTTATAATCACACAACTGCTATGGTATTGAAAAGAATTTTGCTTATTTCAGAGTTTAGAGGAACATTTTGAGGATTGCTAAAATTAATCATGCTTTCTCTGAAAAATAAAATACTGAGTTGAGGTAGAAGGACCTACTGTATTGAAGCATCAGAAGTCTGGCTAGGGGCCAGTCAGTGGGCCTATCCATCCAGCTATGAAGAAGAAGAGGATGAGACTTAGGATTTCATCTGAGGTTTTCTGTAGCCTAACCATTTTAGTCTAACTTCCTTAAGGGCTTATAGTTTCCCCCGTTTGCTAACAATACAGTATCTCCAGAGTTTGGTGTTTAGACTTGACTACATTAGAGACATTTTTTCATATTTGGGAGGATTTTTAGTTGGTGATTACTGGATGGTTATTAATAAATTCAAAAACCGTTGTGCTTCAGTATTGAAGTCTTGCTATAGAAAGCCATGCGCTTGCCCCTCTAGCTTTGAGTAGCGCTGCAGGTAGCAGGGAGCATCAACGAACTATCCCTTCACAGCTTTTTCTCTACGTCCGCCCGCCCTAAGTTTCCCTCTGCACTGGAGCCACTGTGTGTTGGATCATTTGACACTGTCAGTCAAGAGAGTCGGTGGAAACCATAGGAATCTGATTTCTCAATGCAGACAGACTGAACAAAATATGTGATTTCAGTGTCTCGATTTCTTATCTGTACCTCAGGATTACTAAAAACGAAGTTCCTACCTCAGTGATTGTTTTGAGGCTTCAACATATGACGTAGTGAATGCAGTGGCAGTAGTTTTATGGTGGCCTTTTAGAGTTCATCTTGGTAGAAGACAAAGTAAGGAAGAATGACGTTCTAGAAGTTGAGGTGCCTGCTGTATTTGCATAGGGTCAGCCCGCTGTGCCTAGTACCACCAGTAAGTGGGGCTGGGCTGACCTCCAGCTAAAGGGACATTCACTGGCAGGCTGGCTGCTGACAGGCCTTCTGACCTCTCATGAGTTCCCAGACTCCTGCGGATTGCAGTAAACTCAACTGGAAAGTAGAGGTTTGTTTCCCAAGTCACAGCAAACTCCCTGCTCTGGCCGGTTTTCTCCAGCCCTCAGTCATAGAGGTGCCTGACCACTGCTCCTGCTATTAGACTACACAAAGTATTCCTAGTCCTTAGTTGCTTCTCTGTTCCCCAGGCCTCTAACCACATCCTGCTGAGCAGACGGTACCCGTGCAGCCACACCTGCAGCTTGGGAGGTTCAATGATTATTTTAATCAATTAAATTGGAACAGCCCTCCTCCACCCCAAGCCCACAGCCTACCTCTGGTATGATGTAATTGTAGTTTTTGGCTTTATAAAACCTACCCTGCCTCAGTTCGGGACAAGAGATTTTGATGGCAGAAGCCTGCTCTCAGTTACCAGCTTGAATAAAGGACTTTTAAGTGGCCTTATATTCTTAGTGGCCCATAGATTACTCACATGGATACTTCAGGCTTAGTCTGGCCTCTGAACAGGGCTTCCCTTCAGCATGGGGAGATTGAACTATTGAACTAGTAGAAGAAGCCAGCAACAGATCTTTATTCTGTGGCAGTCAGGTTAACAAATTCGTTCTCAATCTTCACATCTTCTGTGACATGTACACCTGACATCAGGAAACACAAACTAGGTCCTAAACTGGATTCCCGCAGGAGTGGAATGGAATGGTGGAATGTTAGATTCTAATGGCTGCTGGGCGTCTGTGTGGTCATTTGTAAGTGCTCCTCAGAATCCTTTGCACTGCTAACGAGCTGGTCTTCAGACTGCTGAACATGTGAGAGGAGCTCGGTCAGCCTCCAGTTGCTGTGTGAAGGGGCCGCACGTAGAATTCAAGGGAGAATTCTGTTTCAGCTCAGCACCGCTTGCTTTTCATTAGGAAAGTGTTTTCGTGTTCTCATGTAGTCAGAAGAGCTTGGCATTTCTGAAGAAAATGTTTGGATTGTCTGTGGTATTTTACCACCAAATAAGTGATTTGGGGCGAACTGCACCCGCGGCAGAGCACAAATGGGTGGCGAAGCTGGTTTATAAACTCTGTGTCCTTGTCTTCCTGAATGTGAAACAGGGATGGAGCGTACTCTCGTGGAGTTGTTTTGAGAATTCAGTAGAAGGCGCAGGTTTGATGTTTGGTGTCCAGCACTTCACAGTGTCGCCATTGCTGCCTGTGACCGCATCCTGAAGTGGGTGGGTGAGTATGAGAAGGCGGTAGCTCCACGCTGAATTTCCCCTTTGTCCTTTTCTCTCTCCCCACAGGAATGAATTCATCTAAAACCAAGCTAGAACTCCAGAAGCACCTGACCACACTGACCAATCAGGAGCAGGCAACTATTTTTGAGGAAGTTCAGGTAGAGTGCACTATCGTGTCTGTTGGGAAAGCACACCAGAGCCTGCTTCTGGAGCATCCTGTGTCCTGAGTGTGAGGAGTTGTCACCATCATCCCCCACAGGGACACGAGCCAGTGCTGCAGTATTATAAAGTGGGAAGACCCCCAGCCCAGGAGACAGAGGCCCGGATGTGGGTCCACGGGCTCTCCTTTGCTCCTTGGGAACTCTGTGAGCCTCTTCCCACGTGGAATTTCATTCCCACTGTGGGAGTCACAAGACGTTTATATATGGGTTTAAACATAATTGTTCCTCCAACATTGGTTTTTTTTTTCCTTTTTTGAAAATACGTATGTCGTGTTATATGTTTAGAGCCATACAGTAAATTAAAACTCAAAACTCAGAGCAGAACCAAACCACCACATGCAAAGTACACTCATACGCTGTGTGCATCAAACCCGGAGGTCCGCTCTTGCCATGCTTGGAGCTCCTGCCTCCGCCAAACCAGGCCAGCCGAGTGTGTGTCAGCCAGCCCACGGCCTGCTTGCCATGAATCTCTAATAAGCTCAACGCAGCTTTCATGCCTGTCAGAGCTGAGAGCCATTTTTGTGATTTTTCTGGCCCCTTTCAAATGAGGCAAGTCTACTGTGACAGAGAAGTAATGTTGTGAGTGGGTGTGGGTGTGTGTGCGCGCGTGCACGCGCGCACGCATACACACACATACACGTGTTAGTGACCTGACAGAGTCTACAGTTAAGGGGGTGATTAAACCAAAGAAGCAGGTAGCTGTGTGTTGTTCATACCCCCTCATTGGGGAGGACAGGAAAAAGGCTGCTTTTCTTCCTGGTGTCTCAGTAAAGTTCTCTAATTCCCTTGTCCTTGTGTAGGATTGGCATACATTTTTAGAAAGAAAGAATAGGGGAGGTCTTTTTTTTTTTTTGCTTTATTGTTGTTTTAATTTCACAAATGACCTTGAAGGCAAATTTTTATTTGCCTCTGTGTTTTTTGAGACTCACTACTTTGCCATCCCATTCTTAACACATTGCAACTGAAGCCAAGGCCATCAGTGCCAACCCACTCAGGGCGTGGTACCAGGTCACTCAGGGAGCATCGTCCTGGCAAGCATGGAAGTTGTGCTTCCCCTCCCTAATGCAGGTTTTCACTTTCATATAGACAGCACCATGTAGCTTTCCCTGAACAGTGTGTTGATGACTCAATATGGGCCATTCCCAGAACCCCCTTCTGCGGTAGTGAGAAGTCTGATGGGTATGATCCCTCCCCTCCATGAACAGAGACACTTGAAAAAAGACGGTGGCAAAGGTTCACTGCAAATGCAGACGTGTCCAGCCTGCTTACAGAGTGCAGAGCTCTAGATGTTCTTGCTCTAGAGGAGGAGCCAGCTGTACTGCTCACTGGCTCGGAGAGCCGGGCTCATCCATTGCACCCCACCAGTGCAGACGTGGAGTTTCTGGTGAGATCTTCTCTGATGGCGCACTGATGGTCTTCCTGCATGACATTCATGGGTTTTCTAAGATATTTTATGGGCTCAGTCATGTGATGGGCGGCTGTCCCTACTAATGTATTTGAAAATTCACGTAGTTCCAAAAGGGCATATAAAAATGTCATATATAAATTCCTTGGGGGTAATTTATTTCTGAAAAACCCTCCCAAAGGCCAATTATATAAGTGTAATTGCCTTTTATAATACTAAGTATTACAATAATAAGTGATATTTATTATTTTGTTATTAAAGCATGTATATTATACTCAGTGTTTCTTTAGGAGAAAGCTTAAATAATAACTAGGCAAATGGGAGCAGCTGACTTTGAGCCCTCAGAGTCCTCGATGGTGGCTAAACACTGGGATATTAGCCTTTCAGCTCCTAAAAGAACACACAGTACCACAGAACTACCTTTTTCTTTACAAGCATGAAGTATGTGGCTTTCGAACATACCCAGCGGCCATCTGTGGCAATCACAACACAGGGTCTCCCTGTCCTCTCAGGCACTTCTGAGTGCCCCACATTGCACTGGCCATCTTCACCAGAAATAGCTGCCTTCAAGCTGGCATTTCAGTAATAAGAAGAAGAATGGCTCAAAGTCTTTAATTAATGTCGAGTGTGGTATCCTAGTGAACATGCCGTAAGTGACGTCCTTGGAGCTCCTTAGACTTTTTCAGATTCTGACACTGCACTTGCTGTCAGGTCAGAAATTTTTCTGTCGCTTTTATGGTACTTTGGAAGACCATTGGAGGATCATGGTTAAGAAACAATTTAGCTTTTGGCAGGAAGTTGGCTGCTTTGGATTGTTTAAATTGATGTTTCTAGAACATCATGTTATAGACAATGTTTATAGAAAAGCATACAAACTGATGGTCTGTGTACCTGTGCAGTCAGCGCCAAGGTTGAGCGTAGAGCCTTTCCTTTGCTGCCAGCCATACCTCATTGTTGCCCTGGGTAACTGCATCCCGGCTCCTCACACCTCTGGTTGTGAACAAGGAGGTTAATTACTGACTGCAAAGTGATGCTGCTCAACTTGATTCACCGTCATTTTTGTGATTGTCACTCTGATTATTGAGTGTGTATAAAACTTGAAAGAAGTAGTGGTCTAACCACAGTAGAGAACGACGAAGCCACATGAGAGTTTAGGGTGATGACACACCCCTAATCTCAGTGCAGAAGGGTAGCCTCTCCGTATTTCAGTTATTTTGAGGAAGTATTCATTTCTTGACGTGGTGTAACACCACAGATAATGCGTTTCTGCTGCACTGCAGGGATTGCCTCGGGATGCTTGATGAGTTCCAGTGGGGTCTCGTGGCTCTGGTGGGCAGCAACTGCAGTTATTCTACCATGCCTGCTTGTGATTTCATTTTCTGCCTATTTGAAGAGTTCGTCCCCCTCTCTCTTTAGCTGTCGGTCTCTGGTATGGATGTTCATGACCACTCGCAACTGCCATTGTGTGGTTCTAGTTGACAAGTTCCATCTTGTTAGCCTTTAAAACTTGCCATTTAAAACTGACCTTTTTCTAAGGAAGCGCCTATCAAAAGCCTGGATCAAGGTTTCCTTTGTCGTTAATGCTTGTGACTCTAAGGATGATACCACTGTTCCTTCGTCAGCTGGGGAACAGTTTGCCAATAATGGCATTAACCCAGAGACTGTACTGCTTGTGTAGGTGATCTCTTTGTCACCCTCTTGACTGTTAGAGGGCAGGTTAGAAGTCTGGAGATAAAGAGGAGGACTGGGCAGTGAAGCTGACGGTATTAGCAAAGCTATGGGCCAGATACTGTTTCTCTGGGATAATTTGGGTAATTGGTTTTGTTTTGTTTTGTTTTTATGTTCACAGAAAGTAATGTATTGAATTAGGTGACTTTTTTAAAGCTATACTGTGACTGGTAATTCATATGCAGAGATTTGGGAGCTGGAGGAGACCATGATCTATTAGGGGAAGCTCAAAGAATTAATTGGTTTCTGCAAGTAACTACAATTTAAAACAAATTAAAAGTCCTAGAGAGAATGTAAGGGAAGAAGACTAAAAGGGGGGAGGGGTGGGAGAAAGGGATGGAGAGAGACAGAGGAGGAGAGGGCAGGGAAAGGAGGACAGCTGGGGAACTTGGCATGCACTTTTTCACGGAAGTACCTGCTTCACGGGGATGCCACAGAGTGCCACATAATGAACACATTCACCACGTGACAGCGTGACCTGGATCCAATTGCTGTGTTCCTTGCTAGGTCTCTAACCTTAAGAGCTTATAAATGTGTAGTCATTATAACTTTGTACTTTTAGTAGATTTTGCTTTATCTGCTTTTAAAAATCGTTTATTTATTAACTGTTTTGACCGCCACTATCTGATGTTAAAAAATTATCTTGGGTAAAAGAACATCGAAGATCAGCTCCTCAATCTGGCTCAGGGGGCTCTGTTATCTGGGGCTCTGTTATCTGTTCTTTTTAAAAAATGACCTCCACTCTTAATATCACTGGTGCCCCCTAGTGAGAGCATTGAGAAAAGCACAGAGTTACTACCTTGATGCTTTTAGTAGCCCTTTTGAAGGGGATGTGTTAGCAGTTTTGTTGACAATTAAAAATAAATAGAATGTTTATGCTTCTGTATTTTTCCTAAAGAAATTGAGGCCAAGAAACGAGCAGCGAGAGAATGAATTAATTATTTCTTTTCTGAGATGTCTGTATGAAGAGAAGCAAAAGGAGCACAAGCACCCTGGGGAGCCAAAGCAGGTAGGCACTTGGTGACGCCCTGTGCTTTCCTAGGGCGACTCTGTACACGGGACCTGGATTTGGGGGTAGGCAGAGCCTCTTTTCCTACATCAGCTTTATCATTACTGTTGCACGCATAGAGAAAATGAAGGAGTGTTAGTTGTGTTAAAGGTGATAAATGTTTCTGTCTGCACCATGGCAGGTTATAGTCACAGGTTGCGTGACTTTTGCTCTTTGAAAAGTGACAGTGAACTGTCCAGCCCCCCTTGGGAGTACACTTAGGGTCTGCAAGGTTTTCGTTGTGCAAATGCTATGTAAATGTGAGCCAGCCTCCTTGGCCTGCCGGATGAGGGTTGGGAGGCCTAGCTCCATGTCATTCAGTCAGAGCTTCCATTATTCCCTTAGCATGATGGGAGTGCTGTCTCCCTGTGTCTGTTTCTGCTCACCCACTTACTTAGTGCTCGTGGGGTACCATGCTGAACTGGGACTTCCCATCTCCACAGACTCTGCCTTCAAGGCCTTTGAGAAGTATGGGATCCAACATGCATCTTGTTAGCTCATTATTAATAGCTTCGGTCCCTGAGCATTTTATATTTGCTGAAGTTTGATGTGGGATTTCCCTCTGTATGCTGTGAATATGATTGATTAATTAATAAAGAAACTGCTTTGAACCTATAGCAAGGTAGAAAGAAGGGCGGAGTGAGAGAAGCCATGTAGCCCCGCCGGAGCCAGACGGAACTTTAGCCAGTAAATCACAGCCACATGACAGTACACAAATTACTAGAAATGGGTTAATTTGAGATGTTAGAGCCAATAAGAAGTTAGAGCTAATGGGCCAAGCAGTGATTTAATTAATACAGTTTCTGTGTGATTATTTTGGGGCTAAGCGGCCAAAAACTAAGTAGAGGCCTCCTAACAACAGAAGTCACTGGGCCAGAAAAATCTAGAGGGGGAAAACAGTGAAAGGCCATCAAGTTCCTTAGTTCTGTAGAAGTGCATTTTCTTGTATGTTTAAACCTGTCAGACACACATTCCCACAGCAGAAGACACGGGAGTGCAGAGTTCTCGTAGCATGCTCTGTGTGTGCTGTTCCTCACGGGCTCCATTGCTGTCTGGAACCTGAACTCCGTGCTGTTTTAATTGGGTACAGGCTTAGCAACTCCCTTCAGTTGGTGTCTTCTTGCCAGTTGACTTTGGCAGTTACATTCTTTTCCTGAGCTGTTAGAGCTCTTGTGGTCTCTGAACGTGCTTTCTCATTGGCCAGCTGAGGCCTGGAGCAGCGGCCTCAGTCTCCTGCCAGCCCTCCTTTCCTAGCCTGTCCCTGTAGCCATCTTGGGGTCCTGAGCCCATGTCCTGAGCCCACCGGCCTCTTTACCAGTGGCATGACTCCACCTAGTCAAGCTTTCCAGTGACTTCTCTAGTTCACTGTAGCTGACTTATTTATTACACACACACACACACACACACACACACACCACCCATTTAACACCTTGTGCCACAAAAAAGTTTTCTGACTTTTTTTTCTTTGAGTCAGTCTGATAGGAAATTAATAATTTTGAAATGGCTTATAACTGTTTAATAGAATGAAGCACTTACAGTAGATGGAAGTTTTGACCTAAGTACAAGTTAATTTTATGGATTCAAGGTGATTTGGGCATAGCTCAGTTCCTTGGAGAAATATATCTAATTTTTTTTTCATTTTCCAAACACAAGAGCCGATGTGGAAGAACCCGAGCCTCGCAGCCAGGACCGGCGTTCGCAGAGCATCGTCCTTACGGTCATTCTATTCAGTTTGCAAAAGCTCTGCCTGTTTGTTTTCATTGTAGAGCAGGCTGGTCTTGAACTCACAGCTGTCCTCTTGCCTCCGCCTTCTGGGTGTTAGAGTACTGGCATGTGCAGATATACCTGACTACGCCAGCATTTCTAGTTGGGTAGTAAATACTCATTTTAGAGTTGACGTATGAACGGACCTCAAGAAATTTGCTAGTGAAGTCTATTATTTTAATCGTAATTTTAGGAGATTAACAAAATTTATTGCTACAGAATTAGTTATGGATTCCACCAGACTCATTTTCAAGTATGTTTTTTCTTCCTTTTTCCTCCTGATATTTTATTAAGAAAAAAAATTTCAGCCGGCGGTGTTGGTGCACACCTTTAATCCCAGCACTTGGGAGGCATGGGCAGGTGAATCTCAGTGAGTTCAAGACCAGCCTGGTCTACAAAGCGAAGCTCCAGGATGGCCAGGACTGTTACACAGAGAATCCCTGTCTCAAAAAAACACAAACAAAACAAATCCAAAATAAATAAATAAATAAATAAGAAAGAAAAGAAGAAAAAAATTTTTAGGAGTACAGAAAAGTTGTAAAAATTATACTATAAGCGCTTATACCCCCACCAATATGTAGATTTGTAACATTTAGTAAATTGGTTTGTCACGTGTCTGCCTTTCTATTAATCCAACTTCTATATCTTTCAAAGAATGCTTTTGATAAGGTTTTCATCCCCAAACCCTTGGGTGTGCATCTCATTATGTACAGTTTGGGCTTTTGTGTTTGCTTGGTTGGTTCAAGTCCTTAGGTTCCCGTCTGTCACGTGATAGACCATGTGTTTTACCATAGCAGAATTCACTGTAGAGCCTTCACACTAGAAGTTACCTAAGACCCAGCCTCATCTTCAAAGAAGACACTTCCAGATGTTTATTTGAATATAATATTTTCTAAAGGTAAATTCTAAGTGCTTATTATTACAAATTATATTTGAGTTCTAGTCCAGGGAAGAGAAAGGTATCTTTTTAGAAACAAGAGAACAGAAGCAGTGTTAAGTATCAGAAATTCCTCAGGCCTGCTTTAAAAACACAGGCATGTAGTTCTTCTTTTTCCCATGTAATATCTACTGATTGGTACTACTTTCTCCATTTAATCTTTCAGTCAGTATTTCCTTTACTGCCAGAACCATCTGTTTAGTTTGCTTCTATTTTATAAATATGAGTCTGAAAGCAGTTCTGGATTGTCTTAACATTGTGGGTAACCTGGTGTTGAGTTTAGCAGGCCCTTTTGTGGGTAAGTCTCTACTCTGAGGTCTGCTGGCCTTGAGCCTAGCAGACTCTTTTCCTTGGCACTGATAAGTGGACCAGTTGCCCAGAGTGTATAACATGTAGCAGGTGTGGGTGGTGTTGGTCTCTATTGCTCAGGTATGTGTGCCCTACATACCTGTCCATTAGTCCCAGTTGCTCCTCAACATCTGGCTATGCCAGCTTGGCCAGGCTTGAGCATCTGTAGTTTTCTGTGTGCTTGAACAACTGCTGTGAGAAGTGTATTGTGTTTAGAGTGATTGAGAATTTGCCTGCTTGTCTTTTTCCCACGGAATTGTCTTCTGCCAGGAGGCAGTCAAGTGAGAGTCCATGTAAACAACTCAACATGCAGGTTTTGGGGGATAGTTTTTTGGACACGTACCTCCTTGTTAAGAAGTAACATTACCTGTTGGGTGGCTGTCAGACTCCGCTATGCTTTAGGTTTAGTGGTATGTGTAGCTGAGAGAGGGAAGTTTGGTTTCAGAGGAGAAAGAAAGAGATCATGAGATACCAGTGAGAGAAAAAGGGGAGACAGATGCTAAAAATAGACGAAGGGTTTACTATGGAAAGGTGGATGCAGTGGATTCATTTATTTTTAAGTTAGTCTCTGAGATGCCCCGCGGGTAAGTCACTGCTTTATTTTAAAAGGTTGGCACAGTGGCTTTCGTCTCAGACCCTGTGCTCAGCGCTTCCTCTTCCCTCCTGCTGTAGTCTCTGAGCACAGAGACGTGAGTAGGTGATTGTTGCTCCCAGTGTGCCAGGCTCACAGTGTCCTGTTGTTAGGAAACAGCAGGTTTCTGATCCAGTTGCTTAGCCTGAGCGAGCCAGCTGATGAGGTTCAGAGCACATTTTCTCAATTTCACTTCAGAGAGCAAATTGTGTACTGGACTTGCAGGCGCGTCGCTAAGGAGCACGCGGGACCCCAGGCTCTCAAAGCAGTGGGACCCAGAGGTTGTTCTGAGTACGTAGAAGGGTTGGAGCTTTAATTGACTTTCATTGTTTTCTCTTCCTAGACACCACAGGTGGCTGCTGAGAATATTGGGAGTGAACTGCCTCCCAGCGCTCCCCGGTTCAGGCTAGATATGCTGAAGAACAGAGCAAAGCGGTCCCTAACAGAATCCTTGGAGAGCATTCTGTCCCGGGTAGGTGGCATCCTTTCTTCGCACTTCAGTTAATAATTCTTAAGCAGAGCCTCGGATTTAGCCCGATTTTGTTGTCTCATCAGACTTAGAGCAATAACTGTCTGCATTTTCTTTGTCTGTGTGTTTATTGGGATGGTGTCACCCTGTGTGGCGTAGCCTGAAAGTCACACTCTTCTGTGGTCTGTCCCATGGGATCCTCTGCTCCTGTGAGTGTTGTTGTCTTTACAGATGGTCCCAATAAAGAACACAGATTATGTATGCCAGGATGTAGATCACGTCTTCCCTGGTGTCCCTGGGGACAGCTTTGGAAACTGTCCTATCAGCTCCTTTTGTTAAGTGCTTGGAACTCCCTGTAAGCAGATTCATGAAATAATTGACCCATGGGCCAAATCCTACCATTCTCTTGTTTTTGTAAATAAAGTGAACTTTATTTACACAGTGCCTTTCATTCATTTACCTGTTATCTCTGTTTTGTAGAGGTCCACATTTTGTTACATTTGTAGAGAATTGAATACTTGTCAGAAAGGCCACGTGACTTAGAAATGGTGAGATGCTTATAAAATACTTGTTATCAAGACCTTCGTAGAAAAAATTGCCCACAAGAGCTCTCTAGGATGCACTGAACATCTCCTGGGAGTTCTTAGGAAGGTCCAGATGCACTGAATCTCCTGGGAGTTCCTTAGGAAGGTCCAGATACACTGAGCATCTCCTGGGAGTTTTTTAGGAAGGTCCAGATGCACTGAATCTCCTGGGAGTTCCTTAGGAAGATCCAAGTACACTGAGCATCACCTGGGAGTTCTTAGGAAGGTCCAGATATACTGAGCATTACCTGGGAGTTCCTTAGGAAGATTCAAGTACACTGAGCATCACTTGGGAGTTTTTTAGGAAGGTCCAGATGCACTGAGCATCGCCTGGGAATTCCTTAGGAAGGCATTCTCCTATCCAATGCATGTGAACATCCATACGTTACGTCTAACAAATCAAAAGTTGACATTTTTAGAGCTTGTACTATTTCATTATAGTTCTTCAAAATGGTAGGGCATATTCCCTCTGAAACATTAGTCAGTCAAAGATGACTTTTGTCCAGTGGTATAACTGAGAATTTCACAATGCCCCTTAAGATAATTCAAAACAGTGCAGTTACAAAACCAAGGCTGGAAGGACTTGCCTCTCAGAGTTCCCACAGGGATGCAGGTTGATTGAGTGACATGCAGGTGGCCGGCTATGACCATCTGTGACTCAGGAAAGAGCTTTTTATTGAGTGCTTTTGGGATCATCATAGAGGAATTATTCCTTCCTGATGGTGATCCGCAGCAAATGACTGATTCTCGGGCCTTTATAGATCATCTAGGTTGGTATGATCCTTAAAAACAATAGCAGAAACGTGATGGTCTTAACACGTGAATAAGCTCTGCAGTGTTTGTGAGGGAGTTCATTTTTCTGAGCTTATTTAGTGAGGCCAGGCTGCCCCCAGCTGATGAATCTTTGGGGCTTTATCTCAACTGTCTTTTCTTTATGTAGGGTAATAAAGCCAGAGGCCTGCAGGACCACTCTGCCAGCGTGGACCTGGACAGCTCCACTTCTAGTACTCTAAGTAACACCAGCAAAGTAAGCATATTCTCCTTGAGTGGTACCCCAAGATCCAGCCAGCAAGCCTGCCCGTCCTCTTACCTACACAGATCTGTAGAAAGGACAAAAAACCCCACATCCCTCCAGTCATAAAATGTTTCCATGACTCTCTGCCCAAGTGGAGGGCTAGTCATGTGATTTTTAATCATAACATGAAAGTTTTAAATAAAAAGGCAAATAACTATTCCCAAAGAATCTAAGATCGTAACTTTAGACAAATGAGATCTAATTTATAGCAACAAATGAGTTTCTTATCCAAAGTAGATTTTTGCAATAATGAAAATAAATAAATTTGAGAGAGCTTCAAAGGTGGGAGGGTGGGTTATGAATTCAGGGAACTGAGTCATAAATCCCTGAGCCTGTTCTGTCGCTGACTCTTGACTGTGAGTACACACGATCCTTATGGTTAAGTAAGCAGCCAACCCTTGCCCCTGTGGTCTGCCACCGAGCACAGTTATAACAAGTTGGCTCACAGTCCTCTGTGATGACCCACCTGGTATGTCTCCTTGCTTTCCTGTCCTGTTCTGGAGGCATTTACACATGCCTGAACCTGGTTTGTTTAACCCTGTGACTGCCAAGAGGTAAACTGGAGAGGATTGGTGTTGAGGAAACAGCCCCCACTCCCCTTACCACCCCGCCCCGTCATTGTCAGCATGTCCTGGTGCAAGAGTGAGGGGGTCTGAACTCCAGCTCCTCACCAGAGAATCGCTTTCAATTTCCCTGTGGTATGTCTCGTCTGTTGTCTGTTGTCAGGAACTGTCCATGGGTGACAAGGACGCCTTGCCTGTCTCTGAGAGCTCCTTCAAGCTCCTTGGCTCCTCAGATGACCTATCCAGTGACTCAGAGGGCCACACTGCAGAAGAGTCTGCTCTGCTATCACCCCAGCAGGCATTCAGAAGGAGAGCCAACACCCTGAGTCATTTCCCTGTAGAGAGCTCGGCACCTCCAGAACCTGCTCAGAGCTCTCCAGGGGTCTCTCAGAGAAAGCTCATGAGGTATCACTCCGTGAGCACAGAGACGCCTCATGAACGCAAGTAAGAGTTGCTTAAGGCATCACGTTTATTGTGTATCCTGAGTGTGCTTTTTGTGCTAAAGAGCAACCCAGGTCAGATTTGACCCTTGACATCAAAAGATAAAACTTGAAGTAGTGTTTCTGGGCAGTGGTAGCACATGCCATTAATGTCAGCACTTGGGAGGCAGAGGCAGGTGTATGAGTTTGATTCCAGTCTGGTCTACAGAGCGAATTCCAAGACAGCCAGAGCTGCACAGTCTCAACAAAACAAAACAAGACAAAAACAAATTTGAACTAGTGTCATGTCCTTCCTAGCTCCTCAGGAAGTGTACAGGGTAGGTACAAGCATTGCCAGCCAGCAGATAAACATGAGCAGAAATGATCCTTACATGTATCTCAGTCTTTAATGCTGAGATGTAGACTTTGGAACTTGTTTGCTGGTCTTGGGAAAGGGGGCACATGGGTGTCAGTGGAGGAATTTCCTCGTTTGGATACCTAGATCTGGTCTATGGTGGGATGGGAACACAGTATCCACATAGGCAGAGTGGGAGAGATGGGCTGTGGGTACCCATGATGGTACCCAGAAGCCTGGAAGCTGGTCCTGGCTGTCATGATCTAGGTGTGATCTGTCGAATGACTCTGTACGACAGAATCAGAGTTGATGCGCTCTAAAGCCTGTCACTGTGGGCATCCAGGATCCACTCCTTGCCTTAGGGTTGCTATTGCTGTGACAAAACATGATGACTAAAGACAGGTTGGGGTGGAAAGTTTACTTGGCTTATGCTTTCACATCACAGTCCATCATTGAAGGAAAGTTGGGCAGGAATTTACACAGTAGGAACCTTGAGACAGGAGCTAATGCAGAAGCCATGGAGGGTTGCAGCTTACTGGCTTGCTCCTCATGGCTCAGCCTGCTTTCTTATGGAACCCAGAACCCTCAGCCCAGTGATGGCACCACTCACAGTGGGCTGGGTCCTCCCCCATCAGCCACTAAGAAAACACCCTATGTGCTTGCCTACAGCCCAATCTTATGAAAGCATTTTCTCAATTTAGGCTCCTTGCTCTCTGATGACTCCAGCTTGTGTCAAGTTGACATAAAACTAGCCAGCCCTCCTTTTAAGGATTGGGCTCAAATAAACAGTTAAACTTTTCTGGCCATAGAGAAGCACAGTTAGGGTGGTGGCAGATGCTTTCCCCATACTTTGCTGGGTCTGTTAGTGACTAACCCCAAGCACCAGAGTCTGCAACAGGGCCCCAAATTATCCTTTAAGATAAGTTTAAAAATGGGGCTATACCCGTGTACAGTGACTGCCTCCCTTTGGCTGGTGACAGTAGAATTTGGGGACATATGTGGCCATGTGACATATGCCAGGTACAGCCATTTGAGTCAGTGCCATGGTTGATATTTGTTATGGGTGGAGGGAAATGTGACATGTCACATACAGAGCTGTCAGCTTCACTGTCCTGAGCCGCTCACTGGGAATCATGTGTCCTTTGGAGTTCAGCTGGGTGACTGAGAGCAGGAGGGGGACATCCCCCAGGAGATGTTTGACAGGTCTGAGCCTTCTGAGACATTTGTGGCTTAGCTCTAGCCCAGCAGGTGCCCTGTTTTTCATCACACTGGGAGCAGCATCTTTGGTAGCGGTGGTTCCCACCTGCAAAGCCCGAGTCCCCTGCCCGTCCCCAGGTGGGAAGACCAGTGCTGCCACTGCTCCTCTCTCCCCAGAGCTTTGCCGTGGCCAGTCATGGACCAGCCGTGAAAGGGATCGGGAAATGCCTGCCTTTTGCATGGTGACTTTGCTTTCCCTCTTGTGAACTTTCCTCCTCAGTCGATAGGAGACAGGACTTTGAAATTCAGGGCAAGATGTCCTAAAGGGAAATGTGGGTTCTAAATTTTGGGTTATTTTCTTTTGCTTTACTTCTAGAATTTCTTTCTGTCGGTTCCCAGCAATGGAACAGAGTAGAAAGTGTTATCGGAAGTATAGACCATGTTGGTGTGTGAGAGCAAGGAGGGGTGAAGGGAAGCCCCACCGCCGGTTCCTGTAGATCTCAGCAAGGCCGCATTTTCTCCCCTTCTCTCTTCCTCCCCTTTGCAGTTTGCCCCTGTCCTCTCTAATCCCACTTTCTGTGATTGCTGTTTAGTGTGGACCATCTTCCTGGGGGTGAGGCGAAGTGCTGCTCAGGGCAGCCTTCAGCTCCTCCTCCGCCTCGTCTTAACCCCTCCGCCTCCTCACCAAACTTTTTTAAGTACCTAAAACACAATTCCAGTGGAGAACAAAGTGGGAATGCTGTGCCAAAAAGGTGAGCACACTCGCATGGCCAGTGTTGTCTGTCTGCCCTGGAGCTCACACTGACTCAGCCCAGCCGGCCGCATGGGGCTGTCCTTTCTGGAAGCCCTAGTCACTGCTTTTGGGGGGCGGGGCTTTTTGATTTTGACTTTACAATATTCAGCTGTCATTTGAATACATAATTTTATTCTCAGCTTTTTTTTTTTAAGCTACTGTGGAAAGTGTCAATGGTGAACTGTCTTTGCCCTTAACTCACACTTCACTTTGCCTTGTGGGAACGCACACATGCATGTGCACAGGCTAACAGCTGTGTTTGTGTACAACTGGAATCTGTACCACGTCAGAAACTTTCGGCTTTATTTAAATGTGTTCTTGTCATTTGGAGGATAGGCCGACTTTTTTTTCTAATTCATTAAGATGAAAGTCACGTTCATTTACAGAGCATTTTAACTGTCTTACCTGGTTTACTTAGCATTACAGTGAAAAGGTTTCCTTTCTAGGCCTAGAGTTTTTACTTTGTGTGTTTATATTTCTTCATCTTAAACTCTTTTTTTAACCAAACTCTTAGCGTCTCCTACCGTAATGCCCTGCGGAAAAAGCTCCACTCCTCCTCCTCTGTGCCAAATTTTCTAAAATTTCTGGCTCCTGTAGATGAAAATCACACCTGTGACTTTATGAACACAAACAGGTAGGGCTTGATTTAAACTGTCAGCTCTGGCGTTCCGAGTGCTGAGTTTCTGTGTGACAAATGCGGGTAGTTCACTGACCTTTGGCCATTTGGAGCATGACAGCTAAGTCTGGTGTGTCGCCTTTCCCACGCTGTTTCTCCTCATAAGCGTCATTTTTAAAGCAAGAAGCCAGCTTACTCTCCAGCTTTGCCTAGGATTGGTTTGTTGACGTTGTCCTCCGAAGAGTGAGGAGTCCTTCCGGCTTCTGCCAGGGGTGGTGGCGGCCTCACTGGGGTGCAGACTGAGTGTAAATTGCAAGGGCCTGCCCAGACTGTTTTGTGAATGGAAAGAAAATTAGTGAGATGATGTTTATATATCAACACTTATACTTTGTTTATAGTTTAAAGCTAAAGGTTTTAAAGCAGGCAACATCACCAGGGATTTTATCCTCAGTTCTTTGATGGTTCTAATTGGACTACATCTGATTTTCTGTTTTGGTGTACACACGTGGGAGAGTGAGCATGTGTGTGTTTGCATGCATGCGTGGCGGGTGAAGGGGTAGTGCATGTGTGCTTGTATGTGGAGGGATGTGATTTGTGACAATCATGGAGATTTTGACTGGTGCTGAGAAAAATAAACCTACCTGTTAACTAAGATGGATTGGGGTACTGGTGATAGTGCCCAGTTGGGATTTTTTTCTCTTTTGAAGTATCACCCAAAAAGGCACAATTGGAAGCTACTATCTGTGTCGCATGCTCCTTAGAATGTCTCTTACGAGAGCAGGGGTATGGGGGTGCGATCTTGTTCACAAGATCAGAATACTGACCCACTGTGACTTGGGTTTAGCTTCTGTGGTTCTCAAGTTATCTACTTATGGAAAGATAAAGTTAGCTGATAATAAACCCTGAGCCTCCCGACTACTCCTGAGTCAGTCATCTCGCCATTTTAGGGACATTGAATCCAAAACAAACCACCTGGGTGACACAGATGGGACCCCTGTGAAGACCCGGCGGCATTCATGGAGACAACAGATATTCCTTCGAGTGGCCACTCCACAGAAGACGTGTGATTCCCCGAGCAGATATGAAGGTAAGGCCATCCCTGAGGAGTTCCTCAGCATCACAGAGGACCTCAGATGCCCTGGCTGGAGTGTCAGAGGTAGTCTCAGATGAAATTAGGGAAGGACACAGAAGTCATGTAGGGCCAATAGCACCGTAACATCATGTAGGCATGAGGTAGGTCCTGGAGACCTTATTCAGACTCCAGTCCTCCCCAGAGAGAACTGGGAGCTGTCTGAAATCCTCCCCAGTAACCTAGGATCATGACTTTTGCCACCCTATGCATGTTTCTGTGGGTGGAGAGGTGTTGAGAACAGGGTCTCATTGTGTGACACAGACTGGCCTGTAACTCTGTATAGACCAGGCTAGCCTTGGACTCCGAGAGATCCACCTGCTTTTGCTTCCCAAGAGCCGGGATTCAAGGCAGGTGCTAACACTCCTGGCAGCTATTTCAGTTTGGTATTAAAAAGAAAGTCATTGAAGCACTGGTAGCAAACAGCCCTGGTGGCTCCTTGTACAGACAGACTCGGCTGCTTATATGACTGTCCCGTCTGCCTCTAGACTCCAGCGATCTAACCCTGAGCTGACCAGAGGGTACCTTACTACTGCCTTAAGTAGAACAGCAAGCTAGGGATATCCATACTCAGACCTTCCATTGCTTAGGAAGAGGCTCCCAACACAAACCAGTGGTCATTTAAAAGCATGGTGCTTGCTGCCCAGTAATGGTCCTACTTGTGAGGGCAGGGTGTAGTCTGTAAAGTAGAAATTCCCATTTTCATGTCTGAGCCAAAACCTGAAGAAAAGGCTATTAGTGACTGTGGACAAAATACATCAAAAGAAGGGGAAATACAAAGTGAACAGAGAGGTAGTGATGAAGAGGTTAGCCTGGGCAAACACCGTCTCTAAGCGTATTAGCCCAGCATGCCAGTTCCTGTGTCCAAGCCCCGTGAACTAAGTCTCACATACCTGAATTTTATATTAGAGACCTATCTGAAGAAAGGAAGTTGAACTGTACTTAGAATCTCACTGTCTGATAAAACTAGGGAAATATCTTCAAATATGTCTGTCACCCACCCATTCTGTGGCTAAAACCCAGGCACAAGCCAGGCAGGTATTCTACCATCGAGCTATACCCTGTGTGTCCCCTTCCCACCCGAGTTCAGCAGCGACTGCTTGGGGTTTTGTGGGACTGACAAGTTTAACTTAACAAAGTCCGAGAGGGCTAGTTCTACCTTTGCACCTACAAAGGGACTGGTCCCTACGTCTCTGATGGTAGGTCAGATGGGCAGCTCTCACCACATGGAAGCAGAGCCGCAGATAAATAGGAAAGCATCAGGTTTTACCCAACTGTGGCAAGACAGGTATTTCCACAGCGAAACAAACATAGATCATGAAATGAGATGCTGAAAGCTGCTCGGTAGCTTAAATATAGAGTCCAGGGCTTCATGATGCTCCCATATCGTGGTTTTCCCTCTGAAACCCAGGAGAGCATGCTCTCTTCTTTTGTGCCGTGGGTTCTCTCTCTGGGTGGAGGATTTGCAGCACTGAGCATGTGAAAGGACCATACTTGGTAAAGTATTCACTCCAGCCAGGGTAGTATCACCAGAGTGCCAGTAAATCAGGGCAACACTCTGGTAAGTTGGGTGTGTTCAGAAATGCATCTGAAGGCATGGCTGAAGGCAGGCACACACTGGCTCATCTGATTAGAGGAGAGATGCCTGGCCTTCGAATTAGCCTCTCGTTTTCAGAGCCTCACCGATGGCCCTACCATGGACTAGAGGCTGGTGATGATCTTGTTCCTGGGCAAAATTATGCACACACCTGTCATTTAAGTGGCTTTGTCCAGTCGTGGATCAGAACAGTATCTGACCAGCTTTAATGAGATTGGGGTCCTTGGACAATCCTGTTGAAAGACGGATTGTTATGTGTGGTTCCAGCTACATCCCGAGTGCCTCCATTTCTGAAAGGCTGTCCCACTGATGCTGATGTGGACAGCATATTTTAAGCAGTAAGGGCTTAGAGTAAGCAGCCACAATGTGTATGGTCCGGGTCTTCCAGACCTAGCTAGTCTCTCTGTGTGACTGTTCTGCGCTTCTGCTTGGGACTCAGGAGTTCCCAAGTCCCAGAGCCTCCAATAGTAATGGTTCTCAGTGACTTTCTTGTTTTCTTTGTGGTGTCAGGAATTGAACACAGGGCCTCATGCCCGCTGGGCAAGTGCTGCCCTCCTGAGCTTTTTCCTAGGAGAGTCGTGTGTGTGTGTGTGTGTGTGTGTGTGTGTGTGTGTGTGTGTGTGTGTGTGTGTGGTGTGTGTGTGTGTGGAGAGAGAGTGCGCTGCTGGGCCTGGGAAAGCAGCCGCCTGCCCTCGCCCCTGCACAGGTAGCCTTGCCCCATGGATTACTCAAGGACCCAGTGTCTACAGAGCTTTTGTTTTCTTTGCCAAGGGCTCTCACCTAATTGTCAGGCCTGCACAGGATGCTGGAAATTGGCTTTTCCCTAGATCTGCGGTGGCTCATGCGCTCCAGTTTCTTTTCTCAGCATACCATACAAAAGAGAACTCTTTGCCATTAAGGAATAATTTTTAGGCAGTGCTCCACTTGGAACTGGAGAGAATCTTTTTGTTCTGTCTGTGCCAGGGAACAGCTTTCGTCTTGGTCTACTTCTTTTCATCTGAGCATTTCATAGCACAGTGTGCATTTCACCCACAATGGATGCCTTCAGACTTTGACATGTCTTGAAAAAGGGAAGGAAACTCATTCTGGCACAAATAAGAATGATTTATTGACTTGAAATCTATTGTGTGAGTATATAGTCCAATGAAGCCAAAGTTGTCTTGTGAGTACAGCTGGGTCAGCCTGCCCCACTTACAATGCGAAGAACTCTAGGTTAGATAACACATGAACTGAGATGTAAGCAGTTGGCGCCAACTAAAGCATGTAAGTGATCTTTAGTGTGACTTCTGTGTTCCTGTGGAAAAGGTAGGATGCGTTTCGTGACAGATTTGTTTTCAGGAATTTGTGTACCTTGGGGAGATTTTAATGAGTGACAGAAGAGGAATAACATAGCACCATATTCACATCTACACAATCACTACCTCTTGGTTGGGCATTCTTGCCTTTTATTGGGTCCCACAGCCATCTGGGGACTCAGTTGTTGAAACGGGGTCCCCAGGAGCGTAGACTGTCTTTAAACTGTGTAGCACTCTCGATCTTCCCTCCACTTCTGAGTGCTAGGAGTCCACAGGTGTGCCACATGCCTGTTTTTTGGTGGTGGTAGTGGGTGGAATCTTGTCGTTTTTGTTCCTGTTTTATTCTGATGTAGTGCTGGGGGTTGAACTAAGGGCTGCATACATGCAAGGCATGGACTCTACCAGCTGAGCCAGATCCCTAGTCTTCCTGGAAGATTATAGGTACCCAAGCTAGTACTGGAAGATTTTAAGTTCCCAAATCATGCTGGGATTTGTTTTTGGACTCTTCTGATGATTCTGATTGCTGCTGCATTGAGACCAGGCAACCTCAGGGGTGACTGGAGTCATTGTCACCACTTGGTGGCAGTGTTTCTCCCTTGTCTTGATGGCTCTAGGCTCCTATTCTGCCAAAAGAACCTACTTCCTTCCCCAGCATGTTTTGTTTGTGAGTTGTTGAGATAGTGGTATTTCCTGTCCGCTTGCAACTTACTTGAACATGGAGTTGTGACGTCAAGTTTCTCTCTTCTAAAGGACTTTGTTACAAGGGCAAAACAAGGAAGAAGCTGATTGTGTCCAGTTGACAGATGTGATTTTTTTTTTAAATTACTCTATTTTGAGATGGGTTTTGTTCTGTAGGACTTAGATATGGGAGCCAGTGCCTTAGCCTCCCAGATACTGGGTTGCAGGCATATGCTACCCTGACAAGGTGGTTTTTGTTTACTGTCCTTGAACTTCGCTTTTCTTTTTTGAGATGATGTCTTTCAGGCTAGTGATCTGATTGTGTGTGTGTGTGTGTGTGTGTGTGTGTGTGTGTGTGTGTGTCTTGGCATGTCTCTTCAGAAGTCAGGGCAGCTGCGGTGACTTTGGCTGGCCGCTCATGTGCCTGTCACCACTGAACTGCTAAGCCAGCACTGTCAGCTTTTCCTGCGGTGCCTCTAGAATTTAAACAGCTAGTCCTTCCACTATTTATGGGGTGGTTTGAAAACATTGTCACCCTGACAACTTCTGCTTGGTTGTAAGACTCATGGAGTAGAGCTGAGGGGCGTGTCCTGCAGCATAGGAGCGGAATGGCCTGTCAGGTGGCTGTCGGATCACAGCACCCAGCTACCCAGCTGGCAGGGAGTTAGTTCCTTCATAGGGTAAAGTGACTGCTCCAAGCCTGCTTGTGTGCCCCCGGGATAAAGTCCAAAATAGAAAGTTTTGATTTGTCATCCTTAATTTTAATGTTTAGAGGAAGGCAGGGTCTCATACTGACCTTGAACTCTGTGTACCTAAGGCCGGCCTTGAACTCCCAGTCCTGTGAGTACTGGAACTACAGATGTGTTTTTCCATATCTAGCTTGTGTTTTACCATTAAACTTTAATCTGTAGGTTCCAGTGACTGTTGAATTATTTAAAATAAGGCAGTGGCAAGAAGTTTAAAATGTTTTCAGGGGAATAAAATTTGTGGACTTGTATGAACATGAACCAGCCTCAAAAGGAAGGCTGTGGTAAGAGTGTGGCCAGCAGGGTGCAAGGAGGCTCCCAGCCTTTCAGGGAGTGGCCCTGTACTTAGAGCTCCCCCATAGTAAATGTCTCCCAACTTCTGTACTGCACCAGCCTGCTGGCCTTGCTCAAACTGGCATCCTCAACTGTGTGCCCTACAATCTCCTTGAGCACTGGGATGACCCTGCAGGGAAGGGGAGAATGAGCTCCGGGAAGGGATTCTTTCTTTGGAAGAAACAACTCAGTTTTACTTAAGAAGTAGTTTTTTTGGGGGAAAACAGTTCATATACTGTACAAATCACTCATTTAAAGCTTACAATTCACTGTTGCTGTTGTTAGAGAGATCTGTTTACAACATTGTGC